AGATAGATAGATAGATAGATAGATAGATAGATAGATAGATATGAACAGACTGAGTGAGATAGATAGATAGATAGATATGAAAAGATTGAGATAGATAGATAAATAGATACATAATGAACCGATTGAGATAGGTAGATAGATAGATACAGAATATATATATATATATATATATATATGTGTGTGTGTGTGTGTGTGTGTGTGTGTGTGTGTGTGTGTGTGTGTGAAAATATATAGAAAATAGGAAGGAACTGGTTAGGTAAATAATCCAAAGTCCCTTAGTATTTTAGTTATTATTTTTAAAAAATAGTGCTCGATACAAAAGTAGAGCATAAATATAATTAAAAATATGAACAAACACATAAGAAGTCTCATGTTTTTCAAAAGAGCCGAAACTTCAATATAATTTAAATAATTTAATTAATTATATTGAAGTTTTCGGCTCTTGTTTTGAAACATGGGACTTCTTATGTCGCGATTTGGAATCATATTTTTAAAATAATATATATATATATATATATATATATATATATATATATATATATATATAGAGAGAGAGAGAGAGAGAGAGAGATAACGAACAGACTGAGACAGATTGATAGGTAGAGAGATAGATAGATATATATGAACAGACTTAGATAGATAGATAGATAGATAGATAGATAATGAAATGAACCCACTGCGATAAATAGGTAGATAGATAGATACAGAATCATATATATATATATATATATATATATATATATATATATATATATATATAGAGAGAGAGAGAGAGAGAGAGAGAAGGAGAAAGATAATGAACAGAGATAGATAGATAGATAGATAGATAGATAGATAGATAGATAGATAGATAGATAGATAGATATGAATAGCCGGAAGTAGAAGCAGAGACGCTGGCAAGCAGATCGACTGTCATGACGCCTAAGCAAGAAAATAGGAAAATATAAAAAACAGAGAGACAGACAGACGCGTCCAGAATTTAACTGCAACGTTTAATGGCCAATAGATAATTTGATTGAAACGCCTACCAATCCGGTCGATAAAGATATGATCAGATTTACAGACATTGTATTAGTCTTCTAATTGGATTCTCTAAACAGATCGATGAAATTATAACTGCCAAGAGAATGCACACGTAATTGACCAGCAATGGAAATCAGTCATTTTTAATCGATTATGAGAATGTACTGCTTGAATCTTTTAATTAGTCCAAGAGAAAGAACGCAAATGCCACAAACCATTTTATGTCACCTGACAAAATAAGTTTTCTTATTTAAAAAAATATTTCGATGGTGGCTGTCAACCTTAAAAATTCATGCAAATTTCGTACTTATGTCTGTTAAAATGTAAGGATTTTAATAATTATCCAAATATATCTTTTGAATAACAAGAAAACACTCATCGTGGGACATTGAGTACAAACATTAATTTCGTTAAACGTTCGATTGCAATAATAATAATAATAATGATAATAACAACAAATAATGTTAGGCAAGCTCTAACGAAATCCCCAAAATGGAAATCCCCAGGAAATGACAAGGTGCCCAATTTCTGGGTCTATCATCTCTCGTCAATTCATAAAACCCTTGCAAAAACTCTATCAAAGCTTGTAAATAATTTCAATGAAATCCCAGAATGCATCACTGAAGACATTACATATTTCATGACAAAAATGAGTGAAACAGACGATCCAAAAAATTATAGGCCAATAACATGTCTCTCCACTACGTATTACATCTGTCCTGATAAAATATATTTACTCTTTTTTCGAAACAAACAGCATTTTTCCACTGGAACAGAAGAGATTCAGGAGAGGTTCATATGGTTGCAAAGATCAACTATTGATAAACAAATTGATCCTGGAAATTTGCAGGAAAAGATGTAGAAATCTTAGCACGGCGTGGATTGCCTTTGATAATGTGCCATAGTCATGAATCCTTAAGACTTTGGAAATGTACAAAGTATCCCCTGTGGTAGTAAATTTTCTTAAGGACAGCATAGGAATGTGGAACATCTCACTATACCTAAATCACACCAGAGGCACTGCCATCTCCAACCGTCTGAATATCCGACGCGGAATCTTTCAAGTGGATTCTCTGTCACCCCTTTTGTTTTGTTTGTCCTTGATCCCCCTTACTCATGAACTAAACAACAGTAGCTATGATTACAAACTAAACAAACAAATATTCAATCCCCTCATCTACACGGATGATCTAAAACTCTTTGCCAAAAACGACAATGAGTTGTAGGGCCTCCTCAATATTGTAAAATGTTTCAGTGACGACATAGGTATGGACTTCGGATTAGATAAATGTGCAAAATTAACATTCAAGAAAGGGAGAATTAGAGAAACACCCTCAATAGATTTAGACTTTGTCAGAAAGATTAGGGAACTGGAACAATATGAGGCCTATAAGTACGTAGGAATTGGCGAAGGAGATGGTATACAACATTTTCAAATGAAGGAGAAGGTAAGAAAGAAACACTACAGGCGTGTGCATCTGGTATTAAACAGCAAGCTGAATTTAAAAAAGAAACAGAATTTTAGCCATAAACACCTTGGCTGTTCCCGTGGTGCAATACAGCTTTAACATCCTTAATTGGACCACAATTGACATTAAGCGAGTGGATGCCAAAACGAGAAAGCTTCTCACTTGCTACCGTATGCAAAGCTGATGTTGATCGTCTGTATGTGCCCAGATCCGAAGGAGGCAGAGGATTAGTTCAACTAGAACTTTCCTACAAAACTACAACAATTGTCCCTCAAAGATACCTGGAAATTACAGAAGACTGGATGATGATATGTGTCAAAGAACATCAAAGTAGTAAGCAGCATTTGAAAAATCTACCAAGTCTTCAAAGTTTTGAACTCTCCACCGCCAAAATGATACCGAATAGTTCCCTCGCCTGTCATCCTGCAATTGCAACGTTGATTGGCTATGCGATTGCAGCTTAATTTTATTAGTCCCCAAATTCAATCTTCCAACACGGGCTTTGTATTATTTACTTTTTTATAAGACTGTATTATAACGGTTCTGCAATCTTTACGTCTATTAAATTTGTGGGAAGTGGCTGCATCAGTTTTGCGTGAAGCTCAGTATATCAGCTATCGGGAAGATTTTTCATCAACTGAGCATTATTTAGGTTGGACACAGGATTTTGAGAGGCATATGCATGTCAAGGACGTTTGGGGTTCACTTCATGATAATGAGCATTCAATGTGACGACTCATCAGGTAAACGCCATATAATGCGGAGTAGAGTAATCCGAGGTTTGTTCGCTTGTAAAATGATTATTTTCTTTTCATGATTTAATAGTAACATTAGCATTAACTTGTTTTAACTCGTGAAAATTTTACGATTGTGGGATTTCAATAAACTGATGGATCTTAATTCTTAAGCTAATGATTGGCTATGCGCATGTCGTGTTCTACAACAATAAAATATCCATAGAAATTCCCCTACGCATCGTTAAATATTTGAGATTAACACCTTTAAGAAAATATTGCAATAACGATCATAAATATGGTCGTTATTTTAAGATAAGGGGTACAGATAAAAACATTTGAAATTTACAACTTTTTCCATTTCACTAAAATAGCCGTTGAAGACTTTTATTTTCCCTTCTTTCTTTCTTTCTTTCTTTCTTTCTTTCTTTCTTTCAATGAAACCAAGTAGTGTCCTTTCTCTTTTTTTCTAGACGATCAAAACGGAATAGTCGATTATTTATGGGGTAATTGCTGAAGATATTAAACACTTCTATCTTCCCCTTTTTTCTTTCTTTCATTTTTTCAATGAAACCAAGTAGCGTCATTTCCCCCTTTTCCTAGCGAACAAAACGGAATAGTCGATTATTTATGAGGTGTTGGCAGGAGACGTTAAACGCATCTATCTTTCTTTCCTTTCTCTCCTTTTTTTTCGCTGAAACCAAACAGCGTCTTCAGTCTTTCCTCACAATCAGAACCAAATGGTCAATTATTTATCTGAGGCAGTGGCAATGTGTAACCCACGAAAGTAAATTGATAACAGAAGAAAAAGACAACTTCTTTAAGAAGAAATGGAAGAATTAGCTCGGAAGAATAAACGGATAAGAGATTTACTCTTGCATGGACAGTGAAATCAGTACAATTCCTGGGTTAAGTAGAGCATAAAAAGTCATCTACTCTGGTTCAGTGGAAGAGACAATTGAGATCATATGGACAAATTATAGAGGATTAACTAATATGAGATTTCTTTTAGCATGGAGAGTGGAATGAGTTCAATCCCTGGATTGGGTAGGGCAAAGATGTTATGATGTCATAGGATCTGGTTCTGTGGAAGAGACAAGTGACGTCACAAGGACAAATTAACTAGGAAGAATTAATTGATCTGAGATTTCCTCTTGCATGAACAATGGAATGAGTTCAATCCCTGGCTTGGGTAGTGCAAGGACGTCTACGCTCTGTTTTAGCGGAAGAGATAAGTTACATCGTAAGGACAAATTAATTCGGAAGAATGAATTGACATGAGATTTCTTCGAGCGTGAACCTTGTTAATGAGTACAATGCGAAATTACCGGAACTTTATTCATTTAAACAGACAACGGAAGAAGACCAGACAGAGAGTGTAACGAATATGAGGACTCTAGTCCGCGCAAATTAAACTAAAATAGTGTTTAATTAAAGAAAGTAAAATACACTGTACAGGAAATTCGCTTACTTTTTTGTTAATGTATTTTTCCCAGAAAATTTCTATCGATCCGTTTGTAGCTTTTGTAATCATATCTGTTCTGAAGGCAAAATATATATCACTCTGTAGAATCTATTGAAAGTAATGTTTTCTTTGTAAAACTGTATTGTGAAAAATAACATTTTTTATTTCTATAAGTTCATTTCAGTTCAGATATATTCCGCTTACTCTCCACAAAAGGTCAACTTGCTCTCCTTTTCTTAATAAATAAAGACTTGTTTCTTTTTTAATTCATATCGCTATTTACAACAGACATTCAGGAGCAGCTATAAGAGAACAGGTTTTCCAAAATATTTTAAATAGGTAAAACCGAGGTGGGGGATAGTGGCTCGGATTGAGAAATCGGAGGACCGAGATCAAATTCGTTATGTTCTTTACATTCACTTATATACAAATGGAAAAGGCATGATTCCATTTTTTCTCCCTACCCAGCTATTGACAAATAATTGCGAATACGGCTACACGCTTAATAGGTAGTCGATGAAGGACGGGTTCCTCTGCCAGGTGCGAAAAGAACATGGATTTGAATTTGGAAAACCGAATAGATTATATAATCTATTGCTACAAACAGCCCTTGATATAAAGCTTGAGATAAAGATAAATAAATAGCTGTTGATTGGCAGTACAGTTGAGAATCATCCTGAAGACATGTAATATCTTCGTTAGCCAAATAGAAACGTTGGCTGGTGATTGGACCAGTTGGTGACGTGTCTGTATGGACACTGTTCAAACTAAGACGTCACGGTTTATTTCATCCTATAGGCTTTTTCCGAAAGTCTGAGTTAAAATACATTTTTAAAATGAATTCTCACATTGTAGGTATAAAATAGGAATTTAAGCGTATACAATGAATACATTTTCTACAAAAACTATCTAGAAATGTTCTACAGCCCTAATTGTGGTAAACGACTAGAACAAAACTATTAGATTTCAACTGTAATATAAAACATGAGCACAAAAAATCATTAAAAAAGTCGGACTTAATTTTATTTCCTGTCTGGAAAGGACACAGGCGTGTCCGAAAATTCAGATTTTTATCATCTTTTCTCGTCATTTATTTAGTCTAAAGGCCTAATAATATACAATAAATATTATTATTTTTATTATCATTACTAGCTGAATTACCTGCCCCTTGCTGCATGATACTCATTTTTTTGAAAGAGAATAATGATTGATTTTAAATCACTGCTATAATTTCCGTAGACCGCCAATCTTTTAGCTTTTTCCTATGTTTCAAATAGGAGTCATTTCCTTGTTCAAATTAAAATCTAATTTAAATGAAAGGGTAAAAAAATTAGTGAAGGGTTTGTGCAAAAACGGCTTGATTTGACCCCTTTGATATGTATTCGATACAATACTTGATTGAATAAATTGATGTGCAGATTTCAACATTGATGTGACATTGTTGCAAGAAATATGTAATGTAAGGCACAAGCCATTGATTTAGGATTTCTTACTCACCTTGACGTCCATATTGTCTGATTTTGATTTTGCCGATGTGACCGCCATCTTCTGGCTTTCTCTTTCTATATTTCGGATAGGAGTCATTCCCTTGTTAAAATTTAATTTAATTTATATCAAATGGAAAAAAATCAGTGGGAGTTTGCCCCCCCCACCTCCATCCCAGATAAAATCCCTCTGATCAAAATAAAATGTACTTATACCCTAGGAGTTATTCCTTTGTTGACATTTAAAATTAATTTATGTCAAAGAGGAAAAAAATCACGGGGGGGTGACCCCCCACCTTGATCAAAGTGAAATATATTTATCCAAGTACCCTGAGTAATGTAGTTTCAGAATATATATGTTTATGTTTATGCGGATCTGGCTCTAAAACCCTAGGAGGAGTTCGATAACAAAACGACAGACTGACAGAGGCTATAATTTTATATATATAGATTATTGTTATTTTTCTAGCTCTCAAATTTCTTTTTTCGGCCAACTATATAAAACACACGGTACTCCCGAGTATTTAACGTCCAAGTAAGCTATTGTAGCATTCTTTAGATCTATAAGGTGTTTGCTTTGGTTTGGTTTGCTTTGGTGTGGTTTAGTTTACGGCATATCAACCTCAATAGCTTGCTAGATCTGTTACTACTGAAATGCCCCATACTTTCGGCCTTGTGCCACATCTAAGCTATGCTTGGAAAATCACTATCAGCCTCAATAGGTTATTTAATGCCGACAAAATTTTTATTGTTGGTAATATTTTTTTTTCAAAAGTATTTCTGGTATTGAAACCTATTTTTTCACTTTTATAGTGTTCTGACCTCAGTTTGGGGGTCAGCTATTTGCACATAGCTGGGAACCTAACAGGTGCTACCACCCCGGGTCGAGATTGACCTGGGAACACCAGCAATTAAGAGGTGGTTCCACGTTCCTCAAAACCTCCTGGTCAGAGGCCTTGTTGTTGGACGTAGTTTATCGTCTTACCCAGGACGCGGATGGAGTTTATCGTCATACCCAGGACGAAAAAGGTGTTTGGATCTATTTCTATGTATAACTAATGTATTTGATAAATTGTTGTGTATAAGATCCTTTTTGTCTTCATAGATACGTTTTTGTAAGTTTCTCGAATGTAGACGGAAAATTCTTGAGAGTGCCGTTATCGAATCGTATCTAAATATAAATCTACGTCCTGTATTTTTTTAAAATATTTCCATTCATGAAAGAATTACTTCTTCCCCAAGTCAACATACATGACTATAAAAATATTAATAATTAAAAAATGGCTTAAATTCATAAACTCTTATTTAAAAAAAAATATGGTAAAATTATTTGTCCTGTACTAAAATAATTTAAATATTAATTGCATAAAAATTCAACAGCAACCTCATTTACTCATTTTTGTTTATTATTATGTCACTTAACATCTTTCATAATTATTCCACTTAGTATCTTTCATAATTTTGTCACTTAGGATCTTTCATAATTTTCCTAGACGTTTTACTTAGCTTGATGAATATTTATGAGCGTCACTTAAATTTAAAAATTTTGAAAACTAACTTTTTAACTTTTATTATATAATCTATTGCTACAGACAGCCCTTGAGAGAAAGCTTGAGATAAAGATAAATAAATAGCTGTTGATTGGCAGTACAGTTGAGAATCATCCTGAAGACCTGTAATATCTTCGTTACCCAAATAGAAACGTTAGCTGGTGATTAGGCCAGTTGGTGACGTGTCTGTATGGACAATACCTCCATAATAATATAAATAGTGTATATATTTCTTGTCATGGAGTGTTGTCCTCATCTTTATTGCCACATTCACAGCGTTTTCGCCTTTTTTACGCACCGGCCTTCTTCAAGTGATATTTGTTGGAATTTAGCCCTTTATTTAGTTCACGAGAGTAGGTTGTTCAAATTCCACGTGATATGCCTTTGGACATCTCAGTTTCAGTCAATTCGTCTTGAAAAGTTTTTTTTTTTTTAGTTTTTGCTCTCACCGCTGTGGCCAAGGATTGAACTCAAAATACTTTGGGTTAAGTAACTTAGGATCAACCAACCAACGCTTTTATCCACTCGTGAGTGAATTTTCGGGACTTATAAACCTAGTGACACAGTAAGCATTTTACCATTACAATTGTTTTCCCTTCACCTCATTTGTTATTATTGTTTTTCTGAAGATTTCTAATCATGGGCTCCCATACTGTACTCATTTCTATGCTTGGCCGGCTTAGGGGATTTTTGTAACCTCGCATCTATGCAAATTACTTAAGGTTTTAGTTTTCGTATAACGAACGAAACGTCGTGAATGGGACAATGAAGATGAGAACAGTCCGAATGATATACATAGTGTAAACAATTAAAATACCTCATCTCAGAAATATAGGAAGATCCTGAAGAAGGCTTGAGCGTACAACGGCCGAAACGTCGTGAGTGTGACAATGAATATGACGACAACAGTCCGAACAATGTAAATAGTGTAAATAATTACAATACCTCATTTCATAAATATAGACAGACCCCGAAGAAGGCCAGAGCGTACAACGGCCGAAACGTCGTGAATGTGACAATAAAGATGAGGACAACAGTCCGAACAATCTAAATAGTTATAATACCTCATCTCAGAAATATAGACGTATTTTTACTTTTGTTTTAAATACTCCCCTCAGAAGAAGAAATGCATCGGCTAAGATCAGTTTTCTTTTTGTTTTTATTCATATATAAAATATTAAAAAACATAACAAATAAAACATTAAAAATACGTAATAGATTTTACAGTTATTTTTTAAATTAATTTTAATCGAGCGCGTTTCATGCCCATTTACAAAAAAATTCCCAACTATTTTTTTTTTTTTTTTTCTTAGCGTTTCATCCTTGAAAATGATTTTGGATGAGATTGAAAATAAAAAAAAATTAAGAGAACTATGGCACCTTCCTTAATAAATTTAATCTCATCAAAATGATCCGAGAATTCAAGATTAAAATAAAAGTAAATCGACATAATGTGCCCAGATAATACAACCAAACATTCTTGAATAGTGATCTACTGCCTAAATATATAAGTGCATAAAAATGACAAAATAGAAATTAATAAGAACTAAATTGCTGAAATTCATTGACGAGGGGCGGACAGATACACCGACGATTTATATCCTATATATATATATATATATATATATATATATATATATATATATATCATACTTATTATAAAACCCAGGTTGTGTGTGTGTCTGTTCGTTGGATCGGATTTCCTACATTTTTCAACCGATTTCAACAAAACTTCATAGGACTACGTAAAATTACCTTACGGTGGTTCTGACAGCGCCAAAAATTTGAAAAACACAAGTGTTTTTGCACAGCATCAATTTGAATACACGATTAAGAGGCATCGCTGTCGCAAGAATGAAAGAATTCCGTCTACCCAATTTCACTCACAAGGCTTTGTGCCTCCATGAGAAACTGCACATTACTAAGTTTCTAAATAATAAAAATCTATTCAACAATAGAAATGAGTTAACGGTTTTTTGCCGACATTATCAAATTTCCGCACTGAATTAACTAGCTAAAAACAAGCACACAATATAATAACTTTTATAATCCATAGCCCAAATAAATACAAAAAAAGATAACCCTTTATGAAGTCGTCAAAAAACAAATGTTACGGCAGTTTTTATATGCACAAAAAAACTAAAATAAAAAAATGAATAAATCTCCATAGACACATAAACCAGACTAGGCGAAAACATCTTCCGTTTCAAATTTAGACACCCCCACCTTACCCTGACTTGACATCTATGAAAGTAACTCTATACTGATACTTGTTATTAACACCCAACACACCCCTACCCAATTTAAACAATTCACCCTGGCTGTTACCATGGAAATTTTGATTTCAATTATGAATATACTATTAAAACACGTAAATTTCAGAAATAAGTTATTCAAAAAAAATTTCGCTTGAATATGGAACAGAGCTTACTTTAATTCAATTTAATTCAAATAATTAGATTGAAGTTTTCGGCTCTTGTTTTGAAACATGAGACCTCTTATGTCGCGAGTTGGAATCATA